GAACATTTTGCTTGTAAATTTCAACCCCACAACAGGGCTTGGAAAAATACTTCACAACTCCCAAATTTCTGCATGTATCATATGATAAAACAATCCAATGAGTTGTATGTATCCATCACTGGTTTTTCAAAGAACACCATATGGTAAAACTTGGTTTTTTCAAACAAGAATTACATTAAGTGTGTAAAAACAAGTAAGAGTGATAGTTAACAAGAAGACTTACCTACAACCAGTCTGTGAAAACCCAAAAAAGTTTGCCTGGCATTTATCACATTTGATGCCTGTTACTCCTGGCTTACAGGTGCACTGTCCTTTTGCATCACACTGTAATGAAGCTGAGCCCACAGGATCACAGTTACATGCCTGACAGTCATCAGATGGTGTCAGGCGGAAAAAATTGTCACGGCACCGTTCACATTTAGGGCCAGCAGTATTTCTCTTGCAGTTTTCACATCGTCCATAGCCAAGACTTTCATCATACACACAGCTGTCTGCTAAATCATTACAGTCACACTCTGGAGAAAGAGAGAGACATGTAAAAATAATCAACACTGAATAAATACTACAGTGCCTAGTAACCTACGTTTCAAAATAGCCCTGGTGGTAAATTTCAATTGCTTTTAAACTTCAAATTCCTCAAGACATGTGACACTTATTTTGATATAAGATAAGTAAAAAATAGATCCCATTGATTCCCCTCTGTGAGAACATGCATATCCATTGTGAGTAACCATGAAACTGGTTGACCCATCAATTTATTGGTCTCATCAAAAACCATTTCAGTCCAAAACCTCCTAACTTTTGAGATGTCCATCCTGAATGCTTTGGCAAAAAAATTGTTGAATATTTAGCCAGCATCTTCATAATAATTCAAATTTCACCAGGAAATATAATGTTACTCTTACATGCATTAGTGATTAGAACTTCTTTATATTATATTCACCAAAAGAAGGAAGAAATTTAATTTGCCAGAACATCTTTGTATTTTCTGAATGTCTTTTATAATCCACACCAAAGGAGGCAAAGAAAAATTCAGTCCCACAGGATGTTGATCCGATTTTTAAAAACACCGTGTGAAATAAGGTAATCTAATCAAGAAACCACAAAACTGGTTTACATTATGTGCTTAAAATTTAATTAAAAAAACACTTTAAAATCTTGAACACTTCACATGATACACCTGCGCTTTTTGTGATGTTTTCCCCTAAATATACATTCAATTTTGTTTGCATACTTGTAAAAATTTACATTGGTATAACTGTTAATTCCAAGAATTTTTCTCTGTGCATAAGAAAAAAAGGAAACGTGATTTCAGGTTAATCTGACAGTCGGAGAAAATAAATTAAAAATTTAGTTCAAAATCGTGCATGCTCTAATTCCCTCAACCCTCAAAAAACTTACATCTACATGAAAAGACCACTATGAGAATTTACAGCAGCCATCTAATCATTTTCAGCAGCCTCTATCAATTCTGAGGCCACCGGCTGCTAAATCTATCATCACACGAGCTTTGATCTTTCAACCGCTCTTGAAACATATCTAATCATCCACTCCATTCTCTTCATGTCTGTAAATTATGCTAAGTATGAAATTGCAGTTTCTATTGCGTAAGTATTTCAGTGGTATTACTCATACGGAAACTGGGATTATCCGCGGTGTTAACAGCAGAAATCTCAAGTAGATTAGTCCTTCAAAAGGAAAGCCAGACGCTGGATTTCCAAGACATCGGAGTAGTCTGCAGGGTATCCTTTAATATAGGCTAAGTTCGTCACGGTATCAAGTGAGACTCGAATTACAAGCAATTTACTACTACAGGATAAAATACTTTCGATTGCTTTAGCAAGTAATTTATACTTCATAAATTGTTATCTTTGAATCACTTCTAATTCATCATCAAAGAGATAGTCTTCTTTTAGTGGTTCTTCAAATGTAAAACGTTCAACCCCAATAAATGGGCCTTTGTTGAATATTCATTTCATTGCGAAAAAAGCCCGTTACCGAGCTATTGCAGACTTCCGGTGAGAGATATCGTCAAGCTGTTTCAATGTCTTTTAGGTCAACAGCAAATAATTCTGGATCGAACGAGAGATTAAATTCATTAAGGGCGTCCAGGAATTTTACTTGAACCTAAAGACGCAGCAACCAAAATTTAGTAAATACGAGTTGCTTTTTAATAAAACCACAGACTCGTACTAATATCAGAATAATATCAGAATAATATCAGAAATATTAACAGACTGAATTGAAAATGTCTTTACTTACTGATGCATTCATTAGCGCTGTTCTCAGTGGCCCTGGCCCATGGCCGATTGTTGTAAAGCGGATGGCATTCTTCGCAGTCGACTCCTGTTGTGTTGTGGTCGCAAATGCACATCAATTGAAGATCTCCCGAGGGCATTTGTTTCTCTCTACAACTTGCAGCGTGTCCGTTGCATTTACATCTTCCCCCAATTGTCAAATCTATAATAGCAAAGTAGTAGCTCCTTAACACGGTAATGTCACCAAACATCTCATCTCCAAATGTATTCATTCGATTTAAATCTATACGAATCGCGCTCGCTGTTACCCAGTCTTGTAATTCGGGACTGTTATCGAAGTTGAGGTTATCCGGTCGACCTTGCAACGTTGTAAAAGCCACGTTCCCTCCAGTAAGAGGAGAAATACTGCTGAATTCATTCGTACACAACACTTGTTGGTTTGTCCTTACAATGTCATTCGTTTTCACTTTGTATGTTTTCTCGCACGAAGCTGACATATATTGATACGGAATCCATGGAGCGTTCGGGTCAGTGCTGGTTTTCTTGTAAATTGCCATCGACTCCGGCCTCGGTGATCTAAAACGAATCCTAATATAAGATACATCGAAGGTCTTCCCAAGATCGAGAGTGATGGTAACGGGTTTGTCCGAGTTTTCAAGCAACGTCTCAGACTGCCACCACGTTCTATTTTGATCGTTCTTAATATCAGTGATGTAAACTGCGGGATGGCTGTACTGTTCCTGCTTAGCATCGCAAATTTCGCATTCTTTGGTGGGCGAGGTTACGCCAGTTTGAACACAAAATACGCTCGGAGGATTCCCACAAGTGTTGTTGGATCGAACGGCTTTATTGAAAGCAGCGTTCTCGAAAGAAGGCATGCATCTGAGGGGAGCTTTCGTGATCTCGTTATAACACGGAGACTGTCCACCAGCCCCTCGAAGAAACAGTAACAGAGCTAGAAATCTCACCAAAAATGAAAAACTATTCATATGCTCCTTCAAACGGGAACGACAGTGGATCTCCATGTTCCCTCTTGTGTTGTGCTCACAATCTACGGTTACGCTGTGGAGGGGATTTTTGTGATATTTGATACAACCCACATGCCAGACGAAGGCGGCTCTCGATTATAAACTTTAGTGAACATGAACATTCTTCAGCGGGAAGAAAATCCCGGGCTCTGATTGGCTATCTCAGTGGTGATTAGAGGAAAACCAATCAGTAGCTTGCCAACGAAATGTGAGGCTTTCCTCTGAGTTCAAAAGTTCCACTGTCAAGTGAGAAATATGTCCCCACCTTTTCCTTTACACCCAGGTAAAAGTTCGCTAATACTCGTCCTTTGTCAACCTCGTCGAAGTAGGGAACAAGCACGATATGAGAAAGTTGAGCTAGTATTTTTTCTCGGTTTATATGACACCCCTTGGTCTAAAATGACTGACGAGACATACCACTGCTGTGTAGTTGATATAAATATTCCTTCAATATTTGTTTTCCGAACAATCATTGACAAATTGCTGAAAACCACAAACTATGTCAGGAAGTGGGCTTGTAAACTAGGTAAATGGTTTTCTCTTCGTTTTTTGAAAAATGTGAACAATTTGAAAAATCTCGTCATTATAAATATGGCGTATGAAATCTGAGAATATCGCCGAAACACATCAGTCTAGTCTTGGAAGAATTTGTCTCTATATTTTCAATCAATAGTAATTGATTTTAATTATTTTAACATAAATATTTGTCTTCCTTCTTTAGTGATTTATTCAGCAGGACATCCTAATCCTGAGCTGGGAATCAGGCCGATGAGCTCTCCCCTACTTGGTCTCCGCTACTTTCCTTATTTTCTTGACATAATAAACGCTTTGAACAAGCATTGGAGTATTGACAGACTGGGCTGTACGTGTGAAATTTCAGATTCTGAATGTTCTTTTTCCTTTCACTGTTTGCTTTTCTAATCTGATTATTGGAATGGATAATAGTAGAGAGTCAGAATCGTAGTTAAAGAAGCATTCACATCAACATCTACTTAGCAAAAGCCTGACTACAGCTATTTTGCGTTCAGCAGGTATAAGGGGAATATTAAAAACTCCCAGAGATATCTTTTCAAACCTGCCAATTTGAGTGCAACATTGGCAGATGTAAGCTAATAAAATATTGCTGGTTTCATAATATCACAATCTCTAATGATGAAAACTTACATTTAACATTAAACCAAATCTGAATTTTTGTGTACTGCCATTCTTTCTTTAAGTTGAAAATGGCAAAAAAAAAAAAAAAAAAAAAAAGGAAAAAAAAGGAAAAAAGAGAAAAAAAGGCCAGTGTTTGAGAGGTTTGGCTTTGGATCAGGTAAAAATCTAACACCAAACCCTTCCAATTGCTAAAATTCTCCATTTTCAGCAACCAAGACATCAAATTGCAAAAACAAAAATGTTATTTCAAGGCACACATTTAGTGTGACATTAAAAAAAAGTTAGGAAGTTTTTTCTCTCAACTAAAAAAAAAGTTATACATTTTGTTGAGCTGTTGTTATTTTCCACAGGAAACAATGACAGGTAAACTGACATTTATTTTAAGGTGTGTTTGTCAATGTTTTAATGTGATACATTTGTGTTGACAGAATAAATGGTGAAATCTTAGATTGGTCACCACAAATTTAGGATCTTTCAATATTTATTTTTGGTGAGTGGTTTTGATGGAAATCATTTCACGAAAGAAGAAAAAATACACACAAGAACAGTATGGGAAATTTTTAACTTTATTTTTTTTGGAGCATCTCAATGAGCCATAATCTCAAATTCTTGAATCTGATTGTACTCATAACCAATTCAGCTTATTAGAACACAGACCAAGGGTTAGAATTCTTCCACACCTTCTATACCAAAGGGAAAAATGTAGAGCAATAGAAAAAATTAAAAAGTTATTTAGAGGTATCAGTAAGTCCATAAGTTCTTCAGTACAGCCCATGGTCACATGCAGAGGAGGGCACTGAAGACCCTGGACACAGTTTTATTCCATATAGATCTTCCGCCTGGTAAATAACATATATTTATCCTTGATTTTGTCTGTTGGAATACTAAGCCATCAAGGTAGAATCACACAGGCACAGAAAAGAGTTAAATTTACATTCTTGGAGGTCTTGGTATTCATTTTTATGGCTAACTCTTGACAATGTTATCATCATCGCTGTAGAGTTGTCTCCCTGTTAGCAGCTAGGCTCTTTCAAAATTTGTCACATTACATCCATGTTTCAGTGACTACATCATTCTGGTCCTTTAAAAGGCTCCATGTAACTGTTGTGACCCAATGTTGTGCCGCCAGTTTCAGTGACTCATTTCACATGACTGTGAGAGAAACAATCATCAGTCTTCCCTCAATGTCTGTGGTGGGATGAAAGCTGCTCCGACCAGCCGTTGTTCTTCCAAGAGGAAATTGAATGTTGCAGTTGCATTAGGCTACAAAGGAAAGACATAAGAATCAACTCTCTCCATGACAACTTTCAAGCCTGGTTTTCACTAGCAATGAAAGCAAGATTGCAATCACAAATGTAAAGTTAACAGCTCTCATTTAACCATGAAAACAGGCTTGATACAAGCACAAGCACAAAGATCAGAATTTTTCCTTTGTCTTGTACCTGTGCTTATGCTTGCAGTGAAGGCTGTTTTCACAGCAAAATAGGAGATGTTATACTCACATTTGTGCTTGCATCACTATTGAAAACCAGGCTTAAGATCTCCATTACAGTGACATCTTATAGGGATCAGTTTATCTTAAGTCTTATAAAGTGACAGACTGAGGAGGTTAAGTAGCAGGGAGCTACTCCTAGTATCCATTTTAAGGATATCTCAGTCTTCAAGAAGTGACAGTTAAGAGAGAGTTGACTGACTAATAGTGTACAGTATTTCCAAATGATTCACTGTTTTGCATTTAAACCAAAACTTTTATTTCAAATGGATTTCAAGAAAGATGTATGTTTACCAAGGCTTCTTTTTGATGGGTACCCCATCAAGAGTTGCACTCTCTTTAATCAACATATGACACAATCTATGTGCTGTAAAAAAAAAGGAACTGAAATAAATAATTTTAAAACAACTGCAGATAAACTGTGGATTCTTTTTCTTGTGAGCAAGATGTTGCTAGCTAAGAGTCCAGCTATAATTTAATTGATAACATGGATAAAAGAACTTACTGTATCCTGAACTTCCAAAAGAATATTGTGTTTCTTCATATAATTGTTTATTTCTGGTGGAAGACGTATAATCTTTTCTCCAGTTCCCACAACCACAATTTCTACAAGAATACACTAGAGTTTAGTGGAAAATTTATATAAACTATTCATAATATACAAACTGGAATTCCTTTTGGTTTCAGCTTACACAACTTGAGATATGTGATGATAACTGGCAGATCAGAGAGGGTACAGTCCAAAATGGTGTGAAAGTATCTTGCAGCTAAAGAGCACTAAAAAACCTACCCGGTTTGCTCAAATATTGGAATTTGAATTTTGGAAAAAAAATCACCTAGTACTTCAGAAGAAAAAAATTAGAAAACAATTACAGAATCAATGAGATTTGCAGCTTTTTTGAATGTGCTACAGTTCAAGTTTTTACGCATAGAAAATTTTGAGACACAAAACTGAAATAACATACAAACCTATTGGAGGTTCCATTATTGTAAAAAGAGTCAGACTGTCAGCTGTTATATCTTCTGGTTTTTTAATCTTTGACATGAAAGAAAAAGTTTACTTCTTTACTTAAAAGTACAGTGCTTACTTTTATTATCACAAAAGAATCCAGTATAAAATTATCATTAGAAGAGAAATGAAGCCTTCATAAGGTTGTACTGAATCTTTTCTATCAAAATAATCATTTGCCAGGTCCTGTGTACAAAAATTATGACAGAGTGTAATTTCAGAAATTATCAATGCCAGGCTTGTGGAGTGTCATTCAAAATTATGACAAAATTTATGGTTTTCTTACAGCACCTGAACAGTGATATCAAAATCCCAAAATTCAAGCGCTCAAGGTTTTTTTAGTCAGTACAAATATTTTATTGATCTCATTTTCCTACAATTTGATTGGTCTCTTTAAACAAGCCTTGAAATTTGATTAGCTATAGCTGTCTCATTGGCTAGGAAAAAGATGCACTTTAGACCATAAAATGGTGCAATTTGTGAATGAATCGCACTGGTGAGAGCAAATCAGATGTTAAGCATTACAAGAGATTTCTAAATGGATATACTAAAACAGGAAACAAAAGGTATATGGAGAAGTAACACCAAATTCTCCATGGATAATTTTAAGAAAACATCTCAAAAACAGATATCCTTTAACAGATCATAAGTCCCACCCTTGTAAACCCTTGTGGGCATTTTTTGGGGTGGCACATCTGGGGTGTGATACTATGCTGTAAACGATAGAGACCTCAGACCACAGCACTGACTTGAACTTCACTTCTCTCTGTATGAACCTACTCATATCACAGGTCACAAGCAACTTACCCGCCAGTGGTAAAACGCTGAGGGAAAGATTACAACAGAGCCAAACACTTTGATATCCTTTACAGTAAAACCACGAGTGCTGTATGACATAACGTAAGGCGGCGAGTTGATCAGACTTTCTTTATCTTTAAAGTCTGTTATAAAAGTAACTGTTGACTGCATTGGTTCTTTTTCAATACCGTGTTGCTTGAGGCGTCTTGGAATTCTATTCGTAAATAAAATAACACAATTTTAGAGTGGGATGATAATTTCCATTAAACGGTGTAAAAATGAGTGCAACATACACAATATGTACAATATTAAATGTGAAAAAATAAGGTGGAATTTAAAAGAATGAGCAAATTTTGCAGCACAAAATTCGTAGGGATGAATCATCTTAACTTACGTAAATTTTTTATCTGATCACATGAACACTTACCGAGAAATTGGTCTTCCTAAAAGATGTCTACATGTCCTTATGCACAGAAGAGCGTTCGCCATTTTGGAAATTTTGTACACATGTGGATAGCGGTAGCTTAGTATGTTATATACAGTTACACAAAAACGACACCGTAACGTCACCAATGAAAATGGCGGGTGTCACGAAAGCTAAGACCTGAGACCAAAGACCCCTCGAAGACTAAAACCCCTCGAAAGACTGGTTCAGGATTCAGGTTTTCGCTTTTGAAAAACACTCCAAAACTAAGACCCCTATTTGAATTCATGGCCAATTACAGTGCAATGAAATAACCCAACACTTGAGTACAGTTCGAGTCACGACTTCTGAGAATTTTACGATAATTCAATTCGGTCCTCTACAGTTAGTTGGTAACTATATACATTAGAGAATTCTCTCCATATGTCGCGTTTCAAGCGAAAGGCCGGTTCGACTATCATGCTAAAAAATTTTGCTTTTGCGGCAAAAAAAAATAAAAGTCCCCCTAAAAACACACACTCACATCAATTAAATCTGTTAACCAGAGTAGCATCAAACCATGTCTGACACACTCTCACCTTTAAACATCAAGCGCTGTTAAATGGCCCCTGTGATTCTGTTTGTATTGCCTTTTTTATAGCAGTGATACGTCCGTCGCATTGTCGGTTGCTTGACGGCTGTATGGGTTTTCAGTCGTCTTCCAATGCCATTTCTATATCATCGATGAAAATTATTATTCGCGCCAGGTTAAACATTTTCCTGAAAAACGTTTTCCCTCGCTAAAATATGAATAACCCACTAGCAAAGTCTAAGAATCTCGCAAACAAGAACATAGGGAAAAAAATTACCGCTGTAATGTATGAGATAATGCAATTTTCCGATTCAAAGAACAGCATCTACTGAAGTTTTACTTTAAGTTTAAGTTTTACTTTAGTTTACTGCGTAAATCAGGGAGAAAGGTGTTGCCCACATTCCTTACAGATCTTGCAATAGCAAACAATTCTATGTATAATATATTAAAGTTCACACGGCAACCAGGTGGACAATCAGACATGGTTTGATGCTACTCTGGTTTGCAGATTTAATGAATGTAACCGAAGAAGTTATGAATGAGAAATGGATAGAAAGAAAGAAAGAAAAAGAGAAAGGAAGAAAGAATGGGTCTATGAATTGTAACTTCTTCGGTTACATTCATTAAATCTGCAAACCAGAATAGCATCAAATGTCTAATTCTATGTATTTTCCTATGGGTGCCACGAAAGCCAAGACCTACATACATTATCTAGTGTGAAACAATATTTGATTCGTATTTTTATCAACGTTAAAATAACTTTACAAACGATCCCTTTTTGCTATTAATTTCGTGTTATAGGATTTGTCTTCAAATTGATGCGAACCAGGAGACATAGTAATACAAGAACGACAACGACAATGGTACTCAATTGAAAACCACTTCACATCACAACTGTTTCTTGCTACATTTCACCACAGCCTAGCTCTGCTCGAATCAATTTTCTGTGCGCATCCTTCAGGGCCGATCGCAATTCTGGTGAAATTTCCAGGTAGGCGGGGCCGAAGTATGGGAATCGGTTCAAAATGTAGGAGCGTTTTATACAATAAAATTTCGTTGTATATCTCGTCGACGGCAGTTTTTCTCCTTGATTGTTTGGGTCAGGGTACATCCAATTTTCCTCATGTGCGAGAATAATATCAAATAGAAGGGTATAACTGGACAAATCATAACATATCCAACGTCATAAACATATTTTGGCACCCCTTTGTTTTATGTTATGAGAGTTGAGTGTTTGCAGGAAGAAATGCGGTCGCTAGGCCGCAAAACGACATTACCATCAATCTGCTTCACACTAATTTGGCAGCAATTTGTTAAAAAGATAAATAATGATTATCATAATAAACTTACCATCTTTCTTATTCTTTACAAAATAACACTTTATATGGAAAGTTACAAACGCGAGAGAAGATGAACTGAGCTGGTCATGAATTGCGATCGGAAATACTGATCTTAAAAATTGCGTTTAAAGTTTCCCGAAAATTGAAAACAGGCAACTTATTCTTGCAGAATACGTTAAAACGGCCTTTCGCTCGAAACGAGGCACATCGACTAAGACTAATGCGTGGTGAATTTTATTCAATAAGAAAAGAGAAACAGAAAGCTTACTTTTTGTTTCTGAATTAAGTAGAGTGTAAATTTATGAGTGAAAAGTTTGCTTATCATTATTCAACGTTTAATTTTGCAGCTCAGTTAAGCCTGCATGTATACACCTCAAATAAAATTCACGATCTCCGCGTTGTAGCTCCCCCAGATTGAAAAGATTATCTTGGCTTCTTCTTTCTTTTAAAATATCCCATACCAGCCCATACGTAAAAGTTTTCTAGGGGTTTTAGTTTTCGAGGGGTCCTAGGTCCTATTAGGTCTTAGCTTTCGTGACACCCGAAAATGGGGGAAAATTTGAGTGTGCGCTGTGGCTCTGCAAGGGAACTTGGGGAGACAACACTCTTTGTAAGACTTAGTTATAGAAATTAATCTTAGAAAGTGATTTAGCTGTAAAATGAATATTCTTGAGCGAAATAATATATTGAACGTCGGTGACAAAATCGAGCGAAGGAAGTTAATTTGCTGGCCGAGCTCCAAGTACCTGTCGCACATAACCGCCGCGTCAAGCTGGTTCGCCATGGAAATAAAGGTAATTATTTTCCACACGTCACAATACTTTCTAGTAGATTCTACTTACTGTTTTGTGATTAACCTTCTTGCGTTTGAACCATTAAAATTTTAAAATTCAGAAAAGCCATCGTCATCCATTACTACACTTTGAGCTCAACTGCTATTACACTATTGAGCAGTCCAAGTTCTGTGCTGTAGATATGAATGACAACAACAAAAAAATGTTTACAATTCTTAAATAAATAATCAGCACGATTTGCAATAAATGGAATACCATACTGGAGAATTCCCTGTCAATTTAGCCCTGTCATGCCAATGTTTAACGCGCTCTACATCAGTGTCATCTGAATTCAGCTGTTATTACCTTGACAGCCGCCATTGCATAACATATTTAAGGGAGATTACTAGTTAGCTTTTTTTCGCATGGGCTGAGAAGAAATAATTATTTCAAAATGAAAATTTACATGTTATTTTATCTAGTGGTTATTTATTTCTTCTTGTATCTTATCAACACATCAACAGTTGCCACAACTTGTAAGTTTAATGGATGCTACGATTCTGGAAGGAATCCACGTCCTTGCATCGCAAGTCCAGTCAATATGGCCTACAAAAGGAATGTTTCATCAACAAATACATGTGGTAACCCAGCTAGTGGGTTCTGTGAGCTTGGCCCTGGACAAAAGTGCTTTGAGTGTGATGCTAATAAAACAGATAAAAGGCATTCTCCAGTATTCATAGTTGATAAGGAATTTGATACTCCATATTTCCTTCAAGATGTAACATGGTGGCAGTCTCAAACATGGTGGGACACAAACCAACTTGGAATGTCAAACCAGTTCAATCCTTTGAAGGTAAACATAACACTGTCTTTTGGCAGAAGGTTCCACATATCTGGTGGTATCATAGTGAGATTTTACAATGAGAGACCAATGGCCATGTTTCTGGAAAAGTCAAGGGACTATGGTAAAACATGGAAAGTTTTACAGTACTTTGCTTTTAAGTGTCCCTTGTATTACAACATGGATGAAATGGAACCTGTTCCGAAGAACAATCTATTTGAAGCAACCTGCACTGAGGATTACAGTGGACAGTTCCCACCAAGATATGGAAAGGTGGAGTACAGATTTGATAAACGCTATGATGACAGTTGTCGTTACTTTGATGAAGAGATCCAGAATTTCATGTTAGCAACAAATGTACGAGTCAGACTTGAATATCCTTACACAGATGGCCTTGAAAAAGTATTTCAGACTGAGGATGTACTCAACAAGTATTATTATGCAATCTCAGATATTGTAATAACAGGACGGTGTGACTGTAATGGGCATGCACAATATTGTACAGGACCACGCATGGAGGAAACATGTGAATGTGAGCATAATACAATGGGACAGGATTGTGAAATGTGCATACCAATGTTCAACAATCGTCCATGGATGCCAGCAAATGCGAGTCATGCAAATGAATGCAAAGGTGATCACCAATTAACTTTATTATTCAGAACAAATTTTCATTTCCCTTAGCATGCAAAATCTAAAAATAGATTTTTTACTGGTTATAAATTCATTGGCTAAATGTGTTTTATTTGGTTTGATGTAGAATGTGAATGTAATAACCATGGATTGTCCTGTATATACAATGATACTCTGGGCTACGGTGTTTGTACCAGTTGTCAACACAATACCAAAGGATCACAATGTGAAGCATGTTCACCAAAGTACTATAGGAATGCAAATGTGCCTTTACAAGATCTAAACACATGCATTGGTAAGATTAGCTGGCAAATTGATTTTAATTACAAGAATTAAGGACTTAGTTGCACTTGGCTTACAAGCTGGTTAAGATATTTTCATTAATGTGTTGCTTGAAACCAATAGGCTTGTTCATTTTAGATAAAAGCGCCTTTAATCCTAAGTTACAGTAACTGTTTCTTTTTTTTTTTTCTTTGCAGCTTGTAACTGTTTCCCAGAAGGTATTACAAATGATGGTACATGCCTGCAGGAGGCAACACCCACGCAGGTGATTGGACAGTGCCGGTGTAAGGAGAATGTGTTTGGACGACAGTGTGATCAGTGTATTCCAGGATACTGGGGTTACAGAGGAAATCCAGCTGGTGAATGCAAAGGTCAACTTCCACAACATGCCTAAAAAGTCACAATTATTGAAATGTTTTGTCTAATGTATTATTCTTTTTGAGCACATTTGCTTTTTAAATCTAAGTTTAAGGGTTTTACTCTGACTTTTTTCTCTTTGAAGAACAATAATTTAAAACAAATGGCTTGGTTTGCAAGTCTCATAATTCTCAATACAAAGAATTTTTTGATTGTTTTGCTTCAGCCTGTGGATGTGATATCTTGGGAACAGTGAACAACACTTTACAGTGTGACCAGTATACTGGGGACTGTCCATGTAAGGAATCTGTACAGGGCAGGTACTGTGTGGAATGTAAAGATGGCTTTTACCTGTTTCCACTAACCAAGGATTCAGATTGTCTAAGGTGTCCCTGTGATTTAGGTGGGGCATTCCCTCGATGTGACAAATTGTCAGGTTGGTAACTTTCAAGTTCCTATCTTTTGAACAGTGATTAATGGTATGGCCCATTGGTATTTACTGTGATGTGAGTAGTCTTGAGTTGATATTTGGTTTAGAAACTTGTATCCCAAGTTTATAATTTTTAATCTTCATAATCCTGATAGATTAGTTTTTCCCTGGCAGAGAACTTCATGTGGAGCTTATTGTGTCGTAGTTTCTCCTTTCTGTAACTGCTGCATATTTTATGTTTGGAGTGATTTACTGAAACCTCAATCTTGAAGAACAAAATAATTTTGTTAGTCAGAAGTTCATTATTATCCAAACTGGTATGAATAGATTAAACATACCAGGGAGGAAACCCTGCTAGAATATGTTTTGTAATAAATTTAATGCAAAATCTTAAATTCCACCAGCAAAACTATTTAATTCAGATTTTTTTAACTTGAATTTTCACCTGGTCAGCACTTATATTTGATTTCTTAGGCACCTGTTCTTGCCGCCCTGGTGTAGAAGGAAGCGAGTGTGAAAGATCCCAGCAGGAACATTTCTATCCATCCTTGGACTTCATCCAGTTTGAACTAGAAGATATGCATGGTACCTTCACAACTTTGACTCCATCTGAGGGTTATGGAGTAGACTTCAGTGGGCATGGTTTTGCCATTCTCTATACAGGGCAATATGCCTACATTGATAATGCCAAAGTGTTAGCCAGCCACCAGTTCTATGCAGTTCTTCGTTACAGTATCACCCAAAGTTGTACATTTGATTTTTCTGCGAAGCTTGTATTGGGCATCACAAGTACTGGCCAAAATACCAGCATTGAATTTGATCTTTTAATGGAGAAGCAACCAGAAAGATCAGGGAAAACATGGAGGTCACCTCAAACTGTAACACTATTGACTGGCAAAGTCTACAACCTCTCACTGACATATAACAGTATCAATGACATTGAGAACTGCTCTGTTCATGTTGACTCACTGGTCTTTCTTCCTGATGTAAATACTACCAGAGCTTATACTGAGTCAGAAAGAGACACTCAAGATCAGTTACATAGTTGTGCTCAAGCTTCTTTGTCTCTGGCAGCATCAGAGCCAGCTTACTGCAACAAACTGGTGTTTGCTGCAAGTACAGAAATCTATAATGGTACCTTGGGTAAGTTCATTTCCTCTCTTACTGACTTTTCTCCCTTCCCTTCATCAATTTCCTTCTCCTGTATTGGGAATAATTCACTCATGCCAATCTTTCACTTGAAAACAAGGCAGAAGCTGTACGTTTTGGTTAACAAAGGAAGAAGGTGCACATTAAATGAAATAATTTTAGTAATTTATCTCATTCTGTAGTCTCATGACTGAGCATGTAACAGTACATGTTGTTTTCTATGTGATAGATCAAATGCTCGTGCCGTGTGTCCATTGTGTTTAGGTTTATGGAAAATACTGAAACTTTTGCTTTTCTTATAGTTTCAAAAAATCACAACATATCAGCGAACAAGACTTTTACCCTACATTTTTAGGCATCTTAAGCAACATGTTTAATATAAAGAGGTAATTTTAACCATAGGACTTTCCCCTTTTAAAAGGGCCCTCTCTATCTATATTTATGAGGAGGCTGTTTCACTTCAAGAACATCACAGTCTGTTCAGATCTTGATTGTTGCTGTTTCATTTTTGTTGGATTTCAGCCTGCAGGTGTAATCCTGTTGGTAGTGTTAGTGGTACACAATGTACAGCTTATGGAGGCCAGTGTCAGTGTCACCCAGGAGTTGTGGGACGTATCTGTGACTCCTGTGATAATGGATACTATGGATTTTCTTCAACAGGATGTAAACGTAAGAAAACAGCTAACTTTTTGTACTTGTCACCATTAGAACACCACTAGATGCATGGAGTTAGATGAATCAGTTTGAAAAAAGATAGATACTTCCAATACATTAAAAACCATTCTTGTTCCTATTGGGTCTTCTCTCACCTCTTTGTTGATTGATAGCCTCTGCCAAGCTTTTTTGTCAATAACAGGTAATAAAAATGAGATTTAAAATTGTTGCTAGTTTGGATCTGTTCATTCTTTGTATCTTTTTGATTCCTCTTCCATTAATATCTTTTGTACTTGCTAAATAACTGTTTTTTGATAGGGGTAAATGTGAATGACCCTAAGCAATTTTTTAAGAGGTCTGGATAAGCTGTATCACAGTATACTTGTTACTAAAAAGTTAACTGTGTTTTTGCAGGTTGTCAGTGTTCTAATGCGGGGTCTTTGCATTTTGCCTGTCATTTGACAACTGGAAAGTGCCAGTGCAAGGCCAATGTTGAAGGACACAACTGTGACATCTGTAAAGATGGCTCCTTTAATTTGGATAGTGCTAATGAGCAGGGATGTCTGTCTTGTTTTGGTTATGGCAGAGCGAGTAGTTGTAAATCAGCTAGTAGATTTGTTGCATCAGCCATATTAAATGAATTTGAAAATAAAACAGGTAATATCTGTGCTTTTGATTCTGCCACATTTTACACTAGCTAGTTTACATTACAAGCTATTCTTTAATAAATATCTAAAAGCATCACTTCAATCAATATTCTACTCAATCAATGTACCAAAAAAAAGCAAGCAAAAAAATGTTTCTTGGTACTTGTGACAGATGCAGTATTTGCAACCCTGGAAGAAATAATCGTCATGTAATGTAATAATGATGACATATATAAATAATGAAACAATTAGTTGTCAGTTGTAGTTCTGTCATTGGAAACAAAAGCTTATTATATCTAAATTAGCCCAGTTATTAGACAAGGTAGCTCATCTGAGGAAAAGGAATGGTATACAGTTGCTAGATTTTTGGGACCAACACTATTCTAAGGTAGCCTTGCATTTGACAATGCTGTCAGCTGTGCAGGCTAAATGGGAACATAGATGCAAACTGGCTACAATATTTCAAAGCATATAAGATGATGAAAATGCTTGGATCTTGTGTATGTTGCTAGATATGTATCCTTTGAAATAAAGTGGCTTAACGAAGCATTTGTTTTTCATGTTTGTTTCTTTAGAGAAAAGTATTCTAATTTCTTGTTTTTCAGAGTTTGATTGGGTGGTGGTAAACAGGACAGGTGATGTGATTCCATTTGTTGACTCAGCATCCAATGGCTTGGTTGTTACCTCTGTTCTTGTGCCACCTGTAATGTACATTAGTGCACCTTCCTTATTTCTTGGAACACAGTTCAGGTCATATGGCCAGAGACTACATGTCAAAGTAAGGATATCTAGGTGATTTAATTCACATGGGGAGGGCTATATAATAATATTTAGATGGCAAACTCTAACGTTAAGGAAGAGTGGCTCAACAAAAGTGACTATCATGCATGCATTTGGTGTACAATGGGTAAATTGTACCTGTCACATATCCAGTTTGTAATTTTGTTACTGGGGGCAAATAAAGAGTGAAATTTTGGTCAAAGTAAATCTGCGTTTCATACAAGGTTAAAAGACAGTGTGGTTTGTGGTAAAATGTACCCTGAAAGTAGGTTTGATAAACCCTCTGAGATTAGGTACCCTGTGATATTGTTACAAAGATTACTCGGCTGCATTCACTTTCTTGGGGAAAATGGATGTGACAAATGGTTACATGTGAATTTGTTCAAAATTTGTTTCTTTTAGTTATGCCTATCTGTTGCTGAAATGCTCAGAGAACCTTGTTATTAAAATGAGAATTCATCATCAGTCAGTTAGAATTCTTGTTGCTTTTTACAGGGGGAGATAAGAAAAGATTAGCAGCAATAATTTGTTCTTGATATTGGCATAGTTTTATGACATCATCCACAGAAATCATGGCTGCTATGCATTCCCCACAAATCATTAAGATACTCTACATGTAAACGTTTGTTATTTTTTTTGACAGATAGACATCAAAGATCCTGGTAATGGACAAAACCCGGCTGCAGCAGATGGAGATGTCATCCTGGCCAGTGGCTCTAAAGAAGTGGCGCTCAACTTTATTCCCTCCCCCTCTCCTAACGTCTCGTCATATCACGTGATACTAGATGAAACACACGTGATTGATGGGCAGTCGGTATCATCACTGGAGTTCCAGTCCATTTTGGCTGGGCTGACATCTCTCAAGCTCCGTGCTTCGTATTTCCCACAGAGTACCGTGACTTTCAAGGAGGTAACTTTGGAGACTGCCGTGAATGAGCGAGGTATACCAGGTGAAGTTTCGGTTGGATTTGTAGAAAATGCTACGTGTCACACAAACTACTCAGGGCTATCGTGTGAATTGTGTGCGCCAGGTAAGTAGCAGAAGTATTTTTCTTTTAAATCAGTGTGAAAGGCTGTGTTGACGTTATAAATGTAATTAAAGACTTGAGTAATTCCTACCCGTTATATCTACCTACCGTTCCTACCTACTCTTTTCATCGACTTTAACTTTCTCTTATTGAACAGAGACAGGAGTCAAAGACTGAAACACTGAAGATTTAAGAGTCATTTGGTGGAAACATTACAATCCAACCAATAATGTTTATTTTCTCTCCTGAACCTACATTTAATCCACTCTTCATGAGTTTGTAGTGTAACAGAGCCTTAACTTGTTATACAGGCACTTGTTAGCTTTGAATAACTAGCCTTGATCATTTTACATTAAGAAACATTGATACAAAAAACTTCCATTACATATTTATAATACTCACCGGTATTGTTTTTGTTTTTTCTTTGTTTTTTCCTTAGGGTACACTCGTGAGGTGAATGGAAGTGGGCCAAGTGGCCGTTGTGTTCTTTGTTCCTGTAATAACCGGAGCACAGAATGTGACAGGGAGACTGGGGCGTGCACCAACTGTCAAGTGGGTACCTATGGTGACCGCTGCCATTTGTGTACAAATAATGTGCTGGGACCAGAATGCACTCAGTGTGGGCCTGGCTATTGGGGACTGTCAGAAAATGGTTGCAGAGGTACCAAAGGGTACTCTTTACACATGTTGGTTGCTTATCTGGCGTAGCATCCCGTGATATTTTTGCTGAATAATAAGTAGTTACCTGTGCATGTCTCTAGCTAGTCTTTGAGCTTAAGCTGATTCAACGGAAATGATGAGCAATTTGAATTAACTTATTTGAATCCAAGTGATATACCAGTTTGTTCTTCACCATTTTTAAGCATTTTACACATATCCACTTTCTGTGTTGAACACTCTTATCAACCTTACCAAGAAGACGTTTGAAAATTAAAGTTAATTGAGTTAAAAATTGTTGGTTTGCCTGCCAGTGCATTATTAACTAGTATAGTTTCAGGGCGTTACAAACTTTCTAAATGTAATGTTTCGTCACACCAAAAATTACATTTAAGTTGTCACTCATTCTCAGTGTATATTCTTTAGCCTGTGATTGTCACCCTGTTGGAACTGCCTTTGGAAACACAACCTTATGCGACCAAGTGACTGGTCAATGTGAGTGTAACACAACAGCTAGAATAGGGGGCAGGCGCTGTGACAGGTGTATGGAAAATAGCTGGAATACTTCAGACAGTTTGTTCAGCTGTAGAGGTAAAGAGCGTCTTGGAACTTTATATTCTGTTCCAACATTCGAAATTATTTTGTTTCTTTCTGCTATAATTCGACTGACTTTTTACATCTGAATAAAGGGGGTAAGTTTCTAACGCTCGAAAAATCAGCTTTAAAACTCTTTATGGTGGCCTATTTACGTTATCAACTCAGTTGATAATTCTAAGTTACATTGAATTTTTACTTCATTAATGTCACTTTTTCAGAATGTTCCTCCTGTTACTCTTCTATCCAAGAGGATGTGAATGTTGTTCGCACCCGGCTCCTAGACATAGAAGATGATCTCTCGGCTCTTATGAAACATCCTGCATTACTTCACAATCTCACATTTGTGGAGCGATTGCACCAGCTGGCCACGGAAGTCAGCGTACTTACCCAAACAATCAGCAGAGCATTGGAGATAGAAGGAAATTTAACATCTCAGTGGCTAACGTTTGCAGTTGCATGCCACGACTTGAGTACCAACCTAAACCACACTGAGACAACTTATGTGAATCACACACTTTATTATGCAGCTGTAGTGGATGCCAATAGAAAAGAAATCGAGAGCACTGTTACGCAGATTCGTGATGTAGTCAGGGAGGCAGCCCGCTTATTGGGAACTCCTATGAGACACAAACTAGAACAGAACGAAGTGTTGTCCAGATCCCTGGCGCTCGTAGCAAAGGAGTTGATAGGTGTCGCAGAAGGTGTGATTGAACATAAAAATCGCACCGTCGCAATTAATGGGACAATTTTTGCGCGTGTAGAATCCGCATTGGAGACAGCAAGCAATGCTACTGAAAAAGCACAAGATGCGAATTCTACCCAGGTTCAACTGACTAATCTGCTGCAGCCACTGTATGAAAACGTATCAGCAGCAAATACTCTTGGAGAGCAAACAGTGGCATTGGTGTTAAGCAAACTCACCAGTGCTAGTAAAGCGTATAATGACAGTGAAACAATGATAGCCGAGGCTAGTCAACCAAACCCTAACAGGAGCAGTGTAAGTTTACTGTATTAACGTGAGTACTTTAGTAAGTCAAATATAGATGTACCGAAAAATCCGTTATATCAAATATGATCGAAAAACTAGATTCACTTTCTCATTCGTCGCTTTAGTTGGGATTGACTACGTATCACGAGAGAAGACCTTGGTGGAAATGGATACTGAATTACATGTGATTATTTTGATAAATATAGGTGTTACAAGATTTGAAAAGAAAGACAATTGAGGCAAGAAATCTGGCAGCGCATTTCCTCAATCAAACCAGCGAACTATATCATTCCAGTGCGGCTGTGGCTGGTCAGGTTCACGCTGCCATAGAAAGATCGGTACATCTGGAAGAGGAAGTACAAAACGTGTTGTTAAATGGTACACAGCTTCTACAGAGATCCCAGGCTGCATTAAGTTCCACACAGGCTTCTGTCTCAAGAGCTAACAAGGTGCATGAACATGCGAAGAGAATGTTGAATGTCGCGAGCAACTTTGAAGCTGAATCTCGTCAGGTCCAGGCCTCTGCCAACAGGTCCTTGTTAACTGTTTCCTCCGCTCGCACCAACGCTCACGACATTTTAAGGAATGTTTTTGCAGTGAATGAATCTTCTGCAAACTCGCTGAAAACGGTTGAGGAGGCTCTGCAACTTGGAGACGTGGTTGATAAATCTTCTGCTTCCGAAAAGCAGGTATGCTCCCTGTTAGTTTGTCATGATGTAATTGGTGAGTAAAGTATTGTATTTTTCGACCCCAACAATTATTTTAATGAAAACACAGCGTACGAGTTGTTTCGTGATAGTTTGAATCTTGTCTTCTAACCAACAACAATAGACGTTAGAGTGGTAAGCAGTGAAGGAAGTTACATCAAGAATTTTTGTCTCCAGCTATTCTGTGGCGATTTTTTTTGTCGGTAATCACATGGTTGAAGCTCACTGACTAAATCAAACTCAGTGTGTAATGGCTGGAACTCTACTCCATACCAAACCTGTAGCAGTATGCAATCGCCTTACTACCGCTAACCTAAAAAACACGTGAAAAGGATGCTTGTTCTTAGGGCTGATGACTTAGTTTGTGTACGCGTTTAGTAACAGAAATGGATACCTGTAAACTTTTTGGTTTTCAACCAGTGGAGTAATCAATTTTTACTTTTTGTGGCTTACAAAGGTCGTGAAGAAGGCTCTCCGCCTGGCGTATAAATTGTGGAACGAGACAACTGGAGTGAACATGGTAGGTAACGCTACTATGGAAGACTTCATGGCTCGAAATATAGAACCCATCCAGAAACTCTGTCAAAACCTGTCGACAAAAGCCTCCAACTTGTCAAACAATGGCCACATTATTCTTCATAGAGCTGCTCATACAAACGCTACTGTGCATCAACTAATTATTTTGATTAGACGCGTGATGAATGAAAGCTCTGGTTTGCCTCGAGTCAGAGTGGACGATCTGCCCACTCTCAGGGAGGGGGTGAATTCAGCCCGACAGCAATTTGACGGGCTTCAACTCCAGCCCCAGTTAGAGGAGTTAAAAAGAGAGCTTCAACTACAGAAGACAAAGATGGCAATTTATAAAGAGCGGATTCACCAGCTTCGGTCTGATATTCAGAAATATAAGGATTTAGTAAGGTCTCTACCTTCCTTTAAGCTTTGCTAACTTTGCTAATAGAGAGGAGCTGAAAAACTAGATTATGTAACCAAACATCCATGGGACATTGCGGACAGTCACAAGGCCTTACGCAAGCCCTTTTGGTATTGAGTAACACAACTTTACTGATCAGACCACTTCAGCACAGCCTGGAGAGATTTTTCAGGTTTTTTTTCTTTTTGACTGTGTCAAAACAACACATCAAGACTTAAACTGAGACATGGAGTATCTTTGTAGCCGGTTAACTACAAAGTTTTATGGCCAGTTTTTCGGTCTTTGGCCCTTGATGTAATTAAGACTGCTTACAAGTTCCGCAGGCTGTTCGACTAAGGGCCTGTTTACATGGAGGTGGGGGACCCCAGGTAGGTGAGGTAACCCGCCTAGCCGTGGTCGAAAAATAAAACGCGTTTCCATGCAATCTTATAACCCCGGCGTACTGGGGTGAGGTTTCTTGAGGTTGTTGTTGTGCTTGCAATTGAGGAGTTTGAGCGGAGGTTACCCTACCTGGCAGACCGGACAACCCGCCTAGGCGGGTCACCCCACCTATCATGTAAACGTGATCAAGATAAAATAAGAAATCATATGGACAGGCGAGTTACCCCACCTAGGCGGGTTACCTCACCTACCTGAGGTCCCCCACCTCCATGTAAACAGGCCCTACTAGTATCATGATTTGCTGATGAACGAGTATTCATGCTTCCCCAATACTGGAATAATACTATCCCACTCCAGTATGTGCTAATTACAAACTTTTGGAGACTATGCTGAAGCAGTGATTTCAATTGCTATAGTAGTCTTCAATTTCAGCGCCTTAAAAAGTTAGAAAGTTTGAGAACAGACAGTGTAAGTCAGTAAAAAGCTCCTTAAAGATTCCAATCAAGATTGTTTGCTTTTAACTCTCGATCCGGAAAAGAGGTCTGTTAATTCAGTTATTCGGTGTTGGCATCCTCGTTATGGAAATTAAAGAACTCAAAATTCGAGGTCTTTCAAGGGATAACCGTGAGAATGCGATTCTTCATGATCAGTTGTAGCAGGGTGCAGGCGTTCAATTTGTAAACATGACTCTGTTAAAATGGGTCGCAAGCGTGGCGCAGAACATAGAAAGAAGTGAGGTTTGCAACAGGTCTGTGCTACCGTCACGCCCCGTTTACAAACTGAACGCCTGAAAATACAAGTGAAATTAGTTAGTATCATTTTGATAATGCTAATGATGTTACTATTATTTGGTAATTTGGCGTATGTCAGAGAGTAATTTATCAAAAGTTGCGTCATTACTGGGTACTAAGATCCACCAACAGCTGTGTTCCAGTGTAGGTATTTGTGGTCCCTCAATAAAAAATGTGTTCTCTGACCGTCCTGATCGAAGATTTTTTCTGTTCCAAGATCAGTTTGAAATTACCTTACAACCTGATAGCGAGATACCAAATTTGATTATACAGGGAATCAGTGAGAAAAAAAGAAGTAAATGTGGTGACTCTCGCTTTGAAGAAAATATCCAGGGCCGACTGAAAAATTAAGCGGTAGGATTACATGATTCAACCCCTGGAAACGAACTTTGATAAGAATGCGACGAAGGAAGTTCAGTGTTCCTTTTGAGGAAAGGTCAGTAAACTTTGTGGAGAAAAGTGCTTTTTGTTTAGTCTTTAATTTTACTTTTGCTCATTAACATCATTTGATTTATGAATAAAATGCTATATTTTTGCAGAACTCATAGATCACTGGCTCCTGTGTCACCATTTCGGCGATACGTTGTTTTAGAGAGATGGCCTATGTTTGCCCAGTGCTGCCGTGCAGCCGATTAGAAGAGAAGAACTTTAAAATTCAATATTGCTGTGATTCACCACTATTACTTCGGCGGAAAACTGTCGATGAATTGTAGCTTGCGCAACGTTATCCAATGTGCGGCTTATGTAAACTTCTGTCTTCTGTTTTTGAAAGTTGAGGTCATCCAAATAGTGCATCGCATATCCATGACAACGCTTTTTCTAACAAAAGGAGCAACTTGGGAATGCGTTCCTTTATTCGTTTTAAAAGCTTAGCTTTAACAACAACTTCGATACTTTTGCAAGAAATATTAGTTAGTCAATTTGATCAGCCACATTCGATTTCATCGAGAACTAGCTAATTGAGCCACATCGGACTTGAAAATCGTCGAATCGGAGGTGATCATGACTCTAATGAAACACATCGCGACCATATGTTCGATCCTGGCGGCGTTTTTTGCGGAGGTGGCTTGTGAATGTTCGATGGCAAACGTATGTGTCCCTGGGCCTGTGAATGCAGCCCGGTTAGTGAAACACACTGTGAAAGCCACAAGTACGTGCGGAAATCCACCGGCCTATTACTGCCATTTCGAACCCTTGAACGGAGATTGCACCTTATGTAGCGGCACTAACCATTCGGTGGACAAGATGACCGATGGTGACTTAGAAACGAGCTGGCAATCAGTAACTTGGTGGGAATGGTACAAGAATAACAACAACACAAACAAACCATTCGTGGTAGATGTTACTCTTTCCTTCAACAAGAGTTATGCTATCACGGGAGAAATTCGTATTACTTTTAACTCTCCTCGACCGTTTAAAATGATTCTGGAAAAGTCTGCGGATAAAGGATTAACGTGGACACCTTTGCAATACTACGCCGACGACTGCCAGGAGAAATTCAACTTATCCAACACGCTTGTCGAAAGCATAACAAAGGGTAACTTTGGTCTTCAATGTGTGCAAGCCTACAGCTCTGCAACGCCTCAAAAAGGCGGCCAGGTAGTGTTTGACTTTTTGCGACGTTACGAGAAAGCTGACTTCTGGAACGGAACACTGCAAGAATATTTCACGATTACGGATCTTCGGTTGCGATTGTTGTATCCTGGTACAGATGGACTGGAGAATGTTGATAATGTAGTCGAAAACATCTTTAATCAGTACTTTTATTCAATCGCAGATATTAGAGTGAATGCCCGATGTCAGTGCCACGGGCACGCAGAGTACTGTGATTTCCCGTATACGAATGGATCACTTTGTGATTGTCTACACAATACAGCGGGTGAAGATTGTGAGAGGTGTAAACCACTCTTCAACAATCAAGCCTGGAGGCCGGCATACTCAAACAGCGAACCTAATCCGTGCGAAGGTGAGTGCATAGAAATAATACTTGAATATTGCATTTGTTCTTCTCGCCTTATTGCTGTGGGATACACAGGTATTTCCTCGAGTTTGCGAGCTATGCGTAAATCGGACCAAATCCCTATTATAACGTGAACTTTTCATAATTAACATCGTTGCGTCCATGTTTATAACTTCGAGACATGATTAGAAAAAATGGTTACGTGTTCCTTGACAATTTTCGCTGGAAACAATCGGCTCCCAGCTAATCAAGTGAAGGGAGCCGCGGTGCTTTCTCTTGAGATTGCTTAAACAACTTTGTTGTCTAAACCCCATGGGAGTTTAGAATGATTGATGTTATTTCACACAAAATTTAAATTGTAGGAGCAGGTAGACACATTGAACCAGGCTTTCATGAACGAGAACCTCCTATCCCGTGAATAACATGTGTACTACCTCGAGTAACATGCAATTTTTATTCGAGGCCATTAGTTATACCATACTGTTTAGATAATTCTTATTGGTAAATCAAGCTCTCTATTGATGGAAAGCAGTATGCGTCTACCAGAAAGGTGTTAATTTCACCGTTACTTATGGAAACCGATAATGCTCTACATTAACAAATAAAGCTGGTAATCTTGTAGAAAAGGAAATATATGTTTGTTTTGATCTCTATGTGAGTGGAGTCTCCGTGGAGTACAAGAGTACTATCCTGGACTACTCAGAATAATTTTTAATTGTGATTGTAATGGAGTAACCGTTACCAAGAGCAGTTAATGATATACAAACGATTTACTTATTTCAGCGAGGTTTTGTGGTAGAAACGGGCGAAAAAAATCACAAACTGAATGGTGGTATTGGCATCGTGCGTAATATTGCATTTTGAAGTGTTGAATAAATGTGTCACACAAAAATTTTACTTATGTAAATTTGGCCCTAAGAAACATCTTATATAATTTTTCCTCATAAATCAGGATTTATCTTTACTCAGGCAGTACATTTTCTTCAAAATATAAATATGTCAAAGTAGTGATGGTTACTGTATATCTGTTTTGTGTTCAAGGCTTTCACTTGCAGTCTAACATGGACTCTTCATAGTCTTATGTCAATGGAATATCTAGTTACAGTGGACTCTGTTATTGTGGACACCTAGAAGGGGAGATTTAGTGTTGGTACTGGCAAGAAACCATAATGGGGGGGTTCAAGAGAAGAAAAATTGGTTTGTCTCTAAACAAATGAGATAATATGTAACTACTCAAACATTAAGTTTCTCATGTGACCTCATGAACTGGAAAAAGATTTGGTTGCAAGCATGAAATTCTCATGTTTGTACCCAATTGAAGAATGGTTTCTTTATTTTCCTCTATTGTAATGTTGCATTATGTTATGTGAGTTAGGATTTTTAAGTGTATACTATAGCAAGAGAAAAATAAGTGAAATGTCATGCTTGGGGCACATAAGTGTCCACATTTCTTTAATAGCAAGACTCTGTAATAAGGGGATTTTGTTTTAATTGTTTGTTTGTGTGTTTTGCCGGGGAGCTGGCTCTTGCCCAAAATGGCAGGGTGTCCATAATAGTGAGTAGAACAATGCTAGAGTCAACTGTAGAGCAAAAATATACATTAATACCAGTTCACAGTTCTACTAAGTCAGACTAGGTATTAGTCATCTTATCATGATGTTTGTTAATTGATCATTTGTGTTGCTCTTTCAGAATGTTTGTGTTACGATCATGCTGATAGTTGTCACTACAACAAAACCCTTAATCATGGTATCTGTGACGACTGTTACCATAACACCACAGGGATGTTTTGTGAACGTTGTCGTGAAAAGTTTTATCGCAATATGAGCAAGCCACTAAATGATCCTGAAGTGTGCCTACGTAAGTACTGAAAAGTTAGTGCCTAGTGATGTAACTGTATGATATTGGCATGGAAACCTGCAAAGGTACTTCTGGATTTTGATGTAGTTGATGCCATAGGAGGCAAGTTGAACCCACTGACTAAGCTATGGGGTTTTCTATTGATACTAGTGTACTTTAAGTTTATTTTCCAGGAAATTAATAACTTATTTTACATATACAATCGACTTGCATAAGTTAGATTGACATGTCAATTCTGTGCTATCTTTTGGGAATTTCAGCTTGTGACTGCTTCATGTTTGGAATTATCAACAATGGAACATGTAATCAGACAACAGGACAATGCAAATGCAAGCAAAATGTGACAGGTCGGCAGTGTGATCATTGTGCGGACACCTTTTGGGGTTTTGAACTACCCCTATTAGGGGATTGTAGAGGTAAGTGATTTATGCTAATCCACTTGAGTTGTGTTCACACACGGCTAGATTTATCCTTGTAAATATTATTTTAATCAGAGTAAGAACGCAAAGGATGCATTCCTGATGGTAATAAAGTACATGTTCTGTAAAAATTATCTTTAGGGCACGTAACTTTTTTCAAAAAGCTTTTTGTTAATTCTCTGTGACAAAGTTCCTTAAAATTCTTAAGGGAAGTCATGAATAAATTGTTGGCAATTTAGTCTTACAACGATCACAGGCTGTAGTCTTGGTGATGAAGTGACATTCAGTTACTAGGTCCTTTGATTTGAAAATCTCTCATAATGTTTCACAAAATAATAATGAGTAATGAGCAACTATTGCAACCATTAGACTTTAGGAAAAGGGTTGAAATAGTGTGATGGTGAAGAAAGTGCAGTATTTTGCAGCTGTCATCTGCAGGAAAACATACACTGTAGTATTTGGTGCTTAACAATCATTACCAACTCCAATGGTTCAACCTGTTATCCTCCTTTCATTTTGTCATTTTGGCTTTTATCGTAGAGTGCAGTTGTAATGGTAATGGAACAGTGAATGGAAGCTTAAGCTGTAATCAGATATTCGGGGAGTGTCCATGCAAGAATAATATTCATCAACGTACTTGCTCAGAGTGCAAAGATGGTTATTACTCATTTCCAAAAGCCATTGAAAGTGACTGTCTTCAGTGTGACTGTGACTATGGTGGAAGTGTACAGGAGATCTGTGAAAAAATGAATGGTTAGTGTCAATGATTAGACAAAATTTTGGTGCAGCATTTAATTTTGTTTTATAGGCTTCAAACTTGAACTATGTCTTACTGAATCTATCCTCTCAAGATGCAATATGCTCTCCTCAATTCACGCTGAAAAAGAAACTGAACTATTTTTTTCTTTTTCATATCAATGTTTTACCCCATCTTGCCTATGTATAATTAGACATATACAAATTTTACAAACCCAATGTCTTGGAAGAACTGAAATTGCCTCCTAGAAGTGAAATTTGATAAGAAAATCGACATTTAGTTTTCAGTAAGTCATGGACTTTCCATAGTGTGAAGTTAGAACTGAAGCAATATTTTATTATTCTTATTAACCTCTTTATAGGCTGAAAAATTAACTTACATCTTATTTTCCAGGAACTTGCCTTTGTCGAAGCCATATTGAAGGAGAACGGTGTACTGCAGTTAGAGCAGGGTTTTATGTTGCTTCCTTTGACCACCTGAAATATGAAGCTGAAGATGCTATGGGCAATTATGAAGCCACCTCTAATTTCACTGGGGTGGACCAGGAATTTACTGGCAGGGGCTATGGAAAAATTGGATTCAACCAATTTATTTCTTTCAACGTCAACTTATCCACAAGCTTCAGGGACTTCTACATAGTTATTCGCTACACCCACACTGAGAAAGCCAACTTATCACTTCTACTCTCTATTAGTTCTTGCAATGAAAAAAATTGCTCTGAGTCAAATAATTTTTCGATCTCAGATGTGCCTTATGGAGTTGGATTAGCTTGGATATCAGAGGAGGCTGTGTCTTTTGTAAGAGGCCAAGTGTATCATTTGAACTTGAGCTATGTCAGTGGAATGTACCAAAACACATCCATTGAAATAGACTCTTTAATTTTACTTCCGAATGTGAGAGATGTTAGGATTTATGAGATTGCTAACAGATATGGTTCTGTTCATGGCATGGCACTGCAACAGATTGAAAATTGCTGGAACAAATCCACCACCATATCTGGGTCTCAAAGTGGTTTTGACACAGCAGTATGTCAGAATGTTACCTTCTCTGCAATGGCTGAAGTGTTTGATGGAGCTATTGGTAAGTGGTGTTAGGGATAATTTAAGTCAATTATTGTAATTAGAGAATTTTGATTTCTGGATAATTTTTGTTGAGGTGTGACACTGGCAGTTGTCTCAACACTGGCCAAGAAGGCAGTTGATCACATCTAACAAATATTTTAAAGTACACAGCTGTATAAACATGAGCCATGATGAATGAAATGGTCTCATCCCACCTTCTCTCAAGGTTTAACGTAAATGGAAGAAGCTCATAGAGACCATGTGTATGACTAGCACTGTAGTTTCCAGGATGTTTATCATTATGGTATACTTCCTATTTTTTCTTGTTAATACTTTTGTTGGTACATTTTACATGTACTTCTAAGCAGGTTGTTTTTTTAAACTGATTTTAAACATATATCACTTGATTTGAGTGACCACATTTTAACTCATGTTTTTTTGTTTGTTTTTATAGCTTGTTCTTGTAACAGTACTGGCACTAAAAATGGTACCACCTGTCACAAGCAAGGAGGTCAGTGTCACTGCAAGCCAGGAGTGACAGGACATGCATGTGATCGTTGCAAACCAGGATATTTTAACTTTACTGGAAGTGGATGTACAGGTATGTACAGCAAAATGATAGAGAACTTATGAAATGAGACTGTTCATGCCTTCATGCTTAGTTCTGATTCAAATGGAAGCCATTGAAACAAGATAACATCATCTCTGTTTCCTCTCAGCTTGTGGATGCAGTGGTGTGGGCTCATCAGATCTGGTCTGTGATCCTGTATCTGGTCAATGTCCATGTAGGCCCGGTGTTGTAACAAGGACATGCAGCAGGTGCAATGCAACCTACTATGGTTTTCAATCAGGACAGGGCTGTGTTGAGTGTAAATGTAATGCAAGTGGTTCTTCAGACCTGCAGTGTGATGATGTTAGTGGTGTGTGCCCATGTAAGAACAGCACCACTGGGTCAAAATGTGACATGTGTCGTAAAAACTTCTTCAATTTCACATCAGAGGGATGCCAGTGAGTATGCATGTTTTGCAAACAATCCATAGCTAAATGTAACATTGTAAACAGTGGGTTACCTTTGCATGTAAGATGTATTTGTTTTTCATGCCTTTGCTGGATGCTGCATATACAGATAGGCAAAGTCAGATAATTGCTATTGTTTAGGAATGTGTTTTGGTGTAAAAGACTTCCTCCCTACTTAAACTTCTAGCAGACTGCTTTGTGTAATCTAGTTTCAACCGAAATCAAAAGAGGCTTTGTAACAGGCATTTTAATTTCCCTTAACTGATTTTAAGACCTTCAATAGCTTTCAGTGTGTGCCTTAGGGCAGGGAAAAATAAAGAAAGGTTGTTTTTGAAGGGATGGAGGCTAGTTTAGATAAATATTGGTACAAGCACTCAAACATGTAAGACAAAGTCCAGCCTTGTTTGTTGAGTTATCATTATCCTTTAGTAAAAGCTGTGACAAATGGATGTACATGGATTGCAAGCTGGTGATAGTTATACCGTACACAGACAAGATTTTTTTCTTAAGCCAATCCATTATTGTTTTCCTTTACAGACCATGTAACTGCCATGAGGGTGGTTCCAGCTCAATGCAGTGCCATCTTAACACAGGGATCTGTAAATGCAAAGCCAATGCCGAAGGAGGAAAGTGTGAGAGATGCAAAAATGGAACTTACAATAGTGACCCACAAAATCCAGATGGATGCTCTCCATGTTTCTGTTTTGATCGATCCAATGTTTGTTCCTCTGCTGTTGGCTTTATTAAAGATTATATTATGGTCAACTTCTCAACACTGAATCACGTTAATAAACCAGGAAATCTGCACGTGCTATCGGAAAATAATGGTAATACCTTTAAAATTGATTTTCCATCCAACAGCAATGTGACAGTTATTGTTAAGAATAATTTTCAGGGAAACCAACTTTCTTCTTACAGTCAGTTATTCATAATTGACTATGTTGAGGCTGACAGTTTAAATGCTTCTTGGATCATCACACTGAAAAACACTCTGGATCGTGAGGCGCGCTTCAGCATAGTGTCTTCTCTTTCCTCGTCAAACAAGGAATATCACGCACTTCTTCATGAACGTAACACCCTCAACAACTTATCTGCTTTTGACTTACAAAGTATCCTAGTGGATATCGATTCTGTTGAAATACAAGGACGTTTCATAGCCAATGGCTCTGTTACAATAGCTGCAAAGATGGTTACTGCTACCAGAGGTGTTGGAGAAGAAGTAAGATATGTTGAAAACTGCACCTGCCCCTACAATTACACAGAGTTGTCATGTGGATATTGCAATTCAGGTAAGGTACTACCACAGTCACTGGTAATTCTGAAATAGCAGTTTAAAAATGGGATTAGCTGAGACGGAAATACTTAGAAAAGAGAAAGACGATCGAGGGCCAAGTAAGACTTGTCCTTCCATGAATATGGACAACGAATATGGGAGACTGAAAAAGGATAGTTGCTTGTCGAAAGCATCAAAACTGGTTTTGAAGTTTATTTATAATTCTTTTTTTCAAGGATTTACTCGCCGACCTCCTAACCCGAGTCACTCGTCAAGAGTGTTCAGCTCGTGCGTGCTGTGTTCATGCACTGGTCGTTCAAAGGAGTGTTTCCCTGAGAATGGCACGTGTTACAACTGTCGCATGGGATCTGAGGGTGAGCACTGTGAGAGGTGTCAACCTAGTGTGGATAACACTACCGACTGCAGACGTTGTGTACCTGGTTATTTTGGATTGACCCCTTCGTCTGGTGGCTGTCGAGGTAACACATCTTATATTATAAGCTTATTTAAGCGGAAACAAATTTTCAAACAAACGGAGTTCTCCTCTGTGTATTTGTTTTGTTTCCGTCCTCTTTTATGTCTCCTGCATGCTCTTTTTAGTCTATCTGAAGACCAGCATTATTCTTGATACCTGTAGGTCATATGCGGTGCTAACCGAGTAAGTGCACAAACACACTAAAAATTACTCCCATGTAAAGGCTCCTACAATAACTTAACATTAGAAGAACTAAAGTATTGTAAACGATTTTCATAAAATTTCACCGTATTTTCCAATCCAGGCAGGATAAACACATGAAATGTCAGGCTTTATTCTAAATCTAATAACTAAAGCTGTTTCCAAAGGTGTGCTTAAAATTTTTTTTCTGTTTTGTCATGTTTCAGACTGTGACTGTGTTGAACCCAACACACTGTACGGAAATAGTACTGTATGTAATGAGACAACCGGCCAGTGCACATGCAAGCCAAGAATTGGTGGACGGCGATGTGACCGGTGCCATGAGAACGCCTACAACACGAGCAGAGGATGTGTTGGTAAGTGTGCAAAGAAACTGATAGCTACGTATTACAGGTTCATTATCATTACCATCGTCATCAGCACTGCTGGTAATATCCTTTCCAGCTTTAATAGATGATGTGTCGGTCACCAGATAATCGTGCTTGAAATGATTCAATTTATAACAACTAAGTAACTTCTCTATAAGTTAGTTTGGCATCAGCTGGGGTATGCGGGTATTAATTGCGTTGACGGAAGTTTTTACCCTCTAGCGTCGATTGCTCCGACAAAGGGCTACTTTTTCTATTCTGTAATAACTTGGCGAACGCAAGCAACAAGAAGCTGAGTTGGCGTGTGATAGTAAAAGAAATTTGAAAAGGGTTAATGTTACAGTGACTTTTATTTAACCTTGTGTGTTTTTTTCTCATTTCTCAGATTGTCCTGAGTGTTACCGTCTG